AGGAAGGAAGGAAGGAAGGAAGGAAGGAAGGAAGGAAGGAAGGAAGGAAGGAAGGAAAAGAACAACAGCAATAGCGCTTAGACTTATATACCCCTTCCCAGTGCTGTACAGCCCTCTCTAAGCGGTTTACAGAGTCAGAATATTTGCCACCAGCAACCTGGTCCTCATTTTACCGACCTCGGAAGGATGGAAGGCTGAGTCAACCTGATGTGGGATAAATACTGGAAAAAATTCATTGGGGATAGAGAGCAGCTTTCATTCCCTGATCCTCCCTTTCTGTTTTTTCAGACATCACCGACAAAATGCTCAGCTTCTTCCTGACCCTGTTCCAAAGTCTGAGGGTGCAGATGGGGGTGCCTTTCACCGAGCAGGTGATCCAAACATTCCTCAACATGTTTACCAGGTAATGCCTCCGTGGAAGCATCAGACGCAGCCATCGATTGTCATGCCCAACTTTAGTAGTTCTGCAGGAGATGTTGCTACGGGAAAAGCAGATGCCAGTTCACCAGTTAAGGGCTTAGTAACTGAACTGGTATGAAATTTGGGGTAGGGGGGGGCGGGTTGTTCAGCAGTGATCCCTCCAGATTGAGGGAGTCTCTTTGTAAACCAGGTCACCCTATTAATAATAAATATTGCCCTGGGCATAGAACTAAAATATCACAGAGAGCCAATTTGGCTAAGTGGCAAAAATGTTGGCCCAGGAATCAGGTATCTGTGAGTTCTAGTCCTGCTTTAGGCATGAAAGCCAGCTAGGTGATTTTGGGGCAATGACCAGGAGATGGAGAGTTCTAGTCCCACTTTAAGCATGGAAGCTAGCTGGGTAACTTTGGGCCAATGACCAGGAGACAGAGAGTTCTAGTCCCGCCTTAGGCATGAAAGCCAGCTAGGTGATTTTGGGCCATTGATCAGGAGACGGAGAGTTCTAGTCCCACTTTAGACATGAAAGGCGGCCAGGTGACTTTGGGCCAATGACTAGGAGACAGTAAGTTCTAGTCCCACTTTAGACATGAAAGCCAGTTGGGTGACTTTGGGCCATTGACCAGGAGATGGAGAGTTCTAGTCCCGCCTTAGCCATGAAAGCCAGCTGGATGACTTTGGGCCAATGACCAGGAGACAGTAAATTCTAGTCCTACTTTAGACATGAAAATCATTTGAGTGACTTTGGGCCACTCCCCCTCTCTCAGCCCAACCCACCTGATTCCTAGTTGTGGGGAAAATACGAAGAGAAAGAAGTGTTAGATATGTTTACCACCTCGAATTACTTACAAAAATAATAAAGGTGGGATTTAAAAAGATCATATAAATAAATAATTGCCAGGCTTTCGCAATCAAAGTACTTGGGTTTTCTTGGGCCCAGAACTTAATACAGAATACCCTGCAGAGCTTTGAACCTGGCCCAATCTACGGTCTCAGAGACCTACCCAGCTTTGAGCATCTCTTTAAAGTCACCAGCTTTGTGTCCCAAAGGTGCTTTTTCAGGAGGCAACTGGACTTCCTTGTTTTTTCTTTGAAGAAGTTTCAATTTTCATCCAAGGAAGCTTCTTCAGCTCTGACTGGATGGTGGGGAATGGAAGGATTTATACTCCTTGCAGACAGCTGGTCATTTGCACCCTTTTAGAGGGTGGTTGAAGTACTTGGAGGTTTATCTGTGTCCTCAGGGTCCCCTAAGTTGGTGCTTCTGATTCCTGCAGTCGACGTTTCTTTTTTCCTCTGGAAATCCATTCCTACTCCCACACCATTCCGAGGGTGTCCATCCCAAATTGCATAGCTAAAAGTCTGTAGAGATTCTCAGTCATCCAGGTCACGGTTGTCCCAAAGGTGCTTTTTTTCAAGAGGTAACTGGACTTCCTTGTTTTTCTTTTGAAGATGTTTTGCTTGTCATCCAAGGAAGCTTCTTCAGCTCTGACTGGATGGTGGGGAATGGAAGGATTTATATCCCTTGCAGACAGCTGGTCATTTGCATCCTTTTAGAGGGTCGTTGAGGCCACCTGGAGATTTATCTTACCAGCTTTGGGTCTTTTGCCACAGGGAGCAGCTGGCCGAGAGCATCCTCCACGATGGAAGCACCGGCTGCCGGGTGGTAGAGAAGTTCCTGAAGATCCTTCAGGTGGTGGTGCAGGAGCCTGGCCAAGTCTTCAAGCCCTTCTTGCCAAATATCATTGCACTTTGCATGGAGCAAGTCTACCCGATTGTTGCCGAGGTAGGACAAGGTTTTTATATCAGGGGGTATTGTGGCCCACCAGTGGCCAGCAGAGCTGGCAGCAGATTTGGACAGTGAGGAGGTTGGGGAGGAACACGGGCC